TATTAGTATTAGTATTAGTATTAGTATTAGTATTGTGGTTGTTTGTTTGTTTGTTTGTTGTTGTTTGTTGTTGTCATCGTCGTCGTAGTACTACAAACCCCAGAATTCCCCGGAGTGTTAGCCCCCCCGTAACGTTTCCAAGCTTTTGCCCAATAATGTAATCAAATTTTCAAGATTAGCAAAGCCACAAACCAATTCAAAAGGAGAGGACCGGAAGGTGCCTCGCTATTTCCATTCCCCCATGCGTTCCCAATCTCCTGTCCCTTCTAGGAGTGACAGCTCAGAGAGTTTAACCCTTAGGGCCCCGCATCTAGTTAGGAACAGACACGTGTCCTTGCTCGTTTTTTTGGGCTGAGCGCCTCGGTTTAACTCATCGGTTCGATTGTAAAAAGCAATGAAGGTCCTCTGAGCATACATAGAGTGAGTTCACGTCACGTCACGATGTATAACAAAAAAGCATGGCGAGATCACGTATTATTATCAGATTTATTTCTATGCTTCAATGACTCGCTGATCCGAAGGAACCAGCTCTACAGTTCTAAGATGATCTATTTCTACTCTTACCAACCCCAGAACAAAAGAGCATTTTGAGAAGCTTGCTACAAAATAAAAAAAATGCGTACAGCAAATTGATTAGAGTATACATAACGCTTGAGCCGCCTTAAAAACTGAAAATATTCTTTTAAGTAACTACACTACCAAAGTTACCTGTTATTCCCTTTTTGAAGCCTCCTGTCATTTTCTACTTCACTTTTCCTGCATGTTGTTAACGATATAGCGGGGAGGACTGCAACCCACACGGTTACCCTAACCAGATATTTTAACCCTTTTCAATAGAAATGTGCAAGTTTGTGTTTTTTGGGGGGTGGGCGCAACTCTTTCCCTGAACTCCACGCTGCACAGGGAATTCTGGGAGTTGTAGTCCCCAAACACAAACCTGTGCTCTTCCAATCGGGAGAGCATTGCTGTACCTTGAGTGCGAGCATTCACGGGTGACCCTCCCAGATCTTCAGCTAGACAAGCACACGGGCAGGCATGTATCCACTTGCATGGCGCCTGGGATGTACTACATCCCCCATCATCCAGCTAGACTGGGTGAAGGGGGTGGAGATGGGAGCCCAAAACATCGGGGCGGGCACCATCTGGGGTAGAAAGGCTTGCTGTAGTACAGAGATCTCTCACCTTTGAACAACCCCTCTTGTGTTTTTCATGCACCAAGCCCACTCAAGGGTTACACCCTGTGTGCTCTGGTTCCTAGAGGGGCGTCTGTGGCATTGTGGGTAGGTGGTGGTGGTGGTGGTGGTGGTGTATAAATTAGGGGTGGCCTCTTCCTGTCCCTACTCTTGTCTCCTCCGATGCTAGGGGATTGCTGGGTGGGGTGGGGGGGATAAAAAGCTGGCGTAGGGGGGAAAGCCAGCTTTTGCAAAGATCTGGAGACTGGCAGATCTCAGCAACCTGGAGCCATAGGATGTGAGTGAGTGTGCAATGCATTGGGGAGGGGGGATGAAAAGGGGGGGTCTAAGGAGAAACTGGGGTGCACCAGAGCATTAGGCAGGGTGCTCCCCAGTTTGCAATGCTGGTGCTCTGGAGTTGACCTTTGGGCCAGAGGCCCCTTAGGGTCAGATCCTTGCGCATTTGCAGTCCATCAGGTCGTTCATCTGCAGAGGTCGGTGCATGCTCTGTGTTGGTTTCCAAACACTCCGAGATGCTTCTCTCCCTTAAGGGAACTGCTGGATAGCTCAGTGGTCGGAGTCTCTGGAGCCAGAGGTTGGGAGTTCGATTCCTCCCTGGGCGTCCTTGGCAGGGGCTGGGCCCTGATGATCTTCCCTAGACCAAGAGCGCCTTCTAGTTTTGCAGTGACAGTTATTCATTCTTCCATGGGCTAGCCTTTTAAGTTGCCGGGAAGAGGAAACTAAATAAATTCAAGTCCCTACTTTTCCATAATGTTGCCGGAATGTTATTTCTGGAAGTAGACAGATTCTTCAAGGCAAGAAATAGAGGAAATGGAGGAATGGAATGAGACTAACCAAACACTCCATTGCTCTGAACACAATGAAATATTTCTTCTGCCGATGGTCAGGAGAAGGGTGGGTTTGATTTAAATCCAATTGTCCCCACTGTTCAAGAAAGGGTGCCCCAAATCACGGTGGGCAGCACCGGAGTTCTATGGGGATGAAATCAAACTGATTTATCTCATGATTGGATTTTTAAAAATTGGATTTTTCATGATTTTAATCCAAAAAATTTTTTTTTTAAAATTTTAAATTGTGATTTACCATATTTTTCGCACCATAAGATGCACTTTCCCCCCACAAAACAGGGGGGTGGAAAGTCTGTGCGTCTTATGGAGCGAAGAAAACAGATTATATTTTCCTGTTTTCTTCTCCTAAAAAATTGGTGCGTCTTATGGAGCGAAAAATACGGTAAATCAATGTTATGTAACAAAAAACAAACTGTGATTGTTATCCCTCCTGGTCAGAAGTCACTGATCCAAGGAACCAAGTGACAATTCAGGTTTAGCAAAGCTGTCTTTATTACCTTGTACAGTCCTTCCCCTCCACCCCTTACTTTAATCTCCCTGCACAAACTGAACATTCTTGGCCTTCCAGCTTTTGTAAAGAAGAATGTGGCTGGAGGGGATTGAAAGATCGGGTTTCTGATGGGGGAGATTGAAGAAAGGAAAGGGAGGTCAAGCTTTCCTGTCAGATACTGGCATGAGCTGTGCCCATCGTCCCCAGCCAGCATGTGGTGATGGGGGCTGTTTGAGGTTAGTACTATTCTGTGCCATCATGTTGTTCCGGCCCATGGTATCCTATGAATGAGTTAACTCCGGAGTGTCCAGTCCCCAACAGCTCAGCTCTTGCAAACTCAAGCCTGTGGAATCCTTTATGGAGTCAGTCCACTCCATAATTCGTCTTCCTCTTTTCCTACCGCCTTTGACTTTTCTTCACATTATTGTCTTTTTTTTCAGTCAAGTCCTGTCTTTTCATGATACACTATGCCCAACGTTTTGTCAGTCTTGAAGTCCCACAGTTAAGAAAACCTAGTCATTCAGGATGAGTGGTCCTCTCATGATCCTTGCTTATTCTGGTTTGTTTTTCTCTTCTTCAGGAGAAGAAAAAACAACTTTCTTTTTTGCTGGTCACACAGATTGGCAGCTCCAGTATGATTTGCTTCTTCCACTGGGTGTCCTCTGGTTTCGAGAACGTCCTAAAGGAATCCTGGGCTAAAATCCGGGGGAAACTCCCCATGAAGGTGTGCGTCACTCATAACTCGGATAAGAACAACCCATCTTATCACAGTCCTTTCTGCTGGGCTGCCTTTTGAGTTGGGAGCAACTTCCACCCCTTCCATCCCCCCCCCTTTTGATGTGACAGAATTGCTGTTATAACGCTTACAAATCGTGGGACTTGTGGCCACCTGTGAGCTAAGAAGAGCCGTTTTCCAATGCTGGACGTGGAAACGTTGCCTCTTTTTAAGTGTGGGCTGGTCGAAGGGCTACTGGCGGAGCCATGAGTCTCTCCTTCCAGAACGTTCCAGAACAGGGTGTGAACTCTGCCATGAAAACAGCGGGGGAAACTCCGCCAAGACCCCTTGAAGCAGAAGGGGAGAAGACGGTCCCTCAGGTGATACAAGTTGGAACCATCGGGGAATTTCTAGGTTGGGTGGCCCCCCAAGAGTTGGCCTTAGGATCCGAGGACGGGTTGGCCCAGCACTGGGAAGCCCAATGGCAGGAGGTCTTGAAGGCCGTCCAACCTCTTCCGGATGGGTATGTGATCCAACCGCCATTGAAACCCTCCCCGTGGGACCCTGGCGAGGTCACCACCGTGGGTGGCCACCCGTGGCCAGTTGGAGAAGGGGTGACCCAAATCCTGTTGGGCAGCGGGGGACTTCCGCCAGGGCCAAGGGATCTGGGCGCTGGAGGCAACAGGGCAGCCAAGGAGGTCGTCATGGGAGAGGACGCCGTGGTGACGGAGGCCCAACGCCAGCGTTTCCGGCAATTCAGCTACCAGGAGGCGGAAGGTCCCCGGGAGGTTTGCCGCAGGCTCCGGGACCGATGCCGGCGGTGGCTGCTGCCAGAGAGGCGCACCAAGGACCAGATCCTGGAGCTCTTGATCCTGGAGCAGTTCCTGAGCATCCTGCCTCCGGAAATGCAGAGCTGGGTCCGAGGGCATTGCCCGCAGCTTTGCTCTCAGGCGGTGACCCTGGCCGAGCAGTTCCTCCGTGGTCAGCAAAGGGAGGTCAAGGTAAGCGATGGGGAACGTCCAGAATGGAGCCCTCCTGGAATCAGGGCCATTAAAAAAAGAAGAAGCTGGTTTATAACATGGGCCGTGAACGAGCAAAGTGTGGCCTGCCTACAGCCGTGGTCCCCAACCTTGGACCTCCAGTTGTTCTTGGCCTGCAACTCCCAGAAGCCTTCACCACCACCTCTGCTGGCCAAGATTTCTGGGAGTTGAAGTCCAAGAACATCTGGAGGCCCAAGGTTGGAGACCACTGGCCTACAGGATATATAGGTGGACCCCAGGGCCATTTTTTGGGGGCTGGAGGTTGCTGGAGGCCCCCAGACCTCCCCTGCATCCAAAATGTTCTCTTCTACTCCTGGAGCAATGATTTTTCTATTTAAAACCATTTTTTAAAAAATCACACATACCCCAGCCCTTAAAATTCAAAATACCCCAAACCAGAAGTCAAGTCTCAGGAATCAGAAGTGACTTTCCTTCTTTTGCAAATATTCTACACTTTGGGGAGCTGGTGAAGCCCCTGGTGGGTTCGAGGGGCAGAACATTTCCCCCACCCCCACCCCAATTTGCCAGAGTTGCCTTACACCAAATGTGAAGGGGGTCCCATACATATCAGGGACTTTGTCTCCACTAGAAGTGGGTGAGCCTTGTGTAATTCTGTTCCACTAGCAGGAGGTGGGGCTTGTGGACCAGCACTAGAAGGGGATGGGACTTGCAGTCTTGTCTTCCACTAGGAGGGGCGGAGCTTATAGAGCTCTCTACTGCTATGATGGGTGGAGCTTGTGAGGGGGCGGAGCTTGCAGAGTTCTCTACTGCTAGGAGGGGTGGAGCTTGCAGAACTCTACCGCTAGGAGGCGCGAAGTTTGAAGAGCTCTCGACTGCTAGGAGGGGCAGAGCTTGCAGAGTTTTTTATTGCTAGGAGGGGGCGGAGCTTGCAGTCTTCTCTTCCAACAGGAGGGAGGGGGGTCAGCAGGGAGCAGATTCAGACCTTTGGCAGGCCAGATTGGGCCCATGGGCCAGGCATCCCCCAACCCTGCTGTCGTGTTTGACAGTTTGAAAGGGCCAGCTTCGGCCACCATATAGAATACTAATACAGTGGTGCTCGGCTAGACAATGTTAATTGGTTCCATTGAAATTGCTGTCTTGTGAAAACATCGTCTAGCGACGTTTAATGCGTTCCAATGGGGAAGGGTCGTCATCGTCCAGCGAAGATCAGCCATTGGAAAGCCGCTTTGCGAACCGCCGATCAGCTGTAAAATCGGCATCTAGCGAATAAGGGAAGCGCAGACAGAGCTGTAAAAATCGGCATCTAGCGAAAAACGATCTGTGAAGCACGGACCAAATCATCGTGCAGCGAAATTCCCTCATAGGAAACATCATTTTGCGATCGCTATAGCGATCGCAAAAAGTCATCGTTCAGTGAAAAAAAACGTACTGCAGAGTAATCGTCTAGCGAGGTGCTACTGTATTATTAGTCCATTTTTTCTCCTTGTGATTAACAGGCAGGCCCTGCCTGGGATATTTTGTGGCCCAAGGCAGCGTTGAAAATGACACGTCCCACACCGCCACCATGTCCAGGTGCATAGCGCCTAAAGTGGGTTGCACAATGTGGTACGTGGAACAGAAGTGTTGCCGAATACCTCTGCTCAGATTTGTCCCTAAAGACACAATACTTATAAAATTAGTAAAGAACCATTTCTTGCAATTCCACGACCACCAGAATCTGCTTCACTCTGCCTAACAGGAGGGCCGGCCCTATTTGCGGTCCTGGTGGGGGCGCGCCTTGGGCCAAGAGCCTTTGCTGCCCTGAGGATAAATATACCGCAGACAGGGGCCAATAGCTGGGACGTTGGCCTCCTGTCTAGAGCCCTCCCAAGACATTTTGCCGCCAGAGGCCAAAGAGCGAATGGTGCGCTGGCCCACCCAAATCAAGGTGCAGAATCCAAATTGGTTTCCTGACATTACTGCAAAGTGCACAGTTGTGAGTTGAACCTGATTAGCCTTAGGCTCACAATTAAAGTAAGGGTTCTGTGTGTATAAAAACATTTATAATAATATTAATCAAGTCAGTTCTGATTTATGCCTACCCTTTTGAGGGTTTTCCAGGTACCACTCCTGAGAGTTTTTCAGAATTTAGTTATTTATTTATTTATTTTATTAGAATTATATACCTCCCCAGAAGGCACAGTGAGGGAATCGAGCTCCCAACCTCTGGCCCTGTAGCCAGATAACTGACTCACTGAGCTTTCCAGCTAGCTTAAACATTTGTAGCCCCAGATCACAGGATATCAGGGTAGGCTACAGAGCGATATAAAAGAGTGTTAAAGCATAAACTATTGAAAAAAGACTTAAAATCAAAAGAGTACACCATAAATACATTCAGACATTAAAAACCATTGCACTGAAACAGTGGTTCCCAACCTGGGTTCCCCATGTGTTCTTGGACTGCAACTCCCAGAAATCCTGGCCAGCACAGGGGCAAAAGCTTCTGGGAGTTGTAGTCCAAGAACATCTGGGGACCCCAG